ACGCACATGGCCAAAGCGCACGAGATGTCACACTTAAGAATCTGATAGTTTCTTGGTCTTGAAGAGATTGAAAAGACACCAAACAGTGCCCACACCACAACACAAAGAAACACCTGAAAATGGCCACCCACTAGATGACACGCTTAAGAATCTTTTTGTTTTTCAACAGCTCTCTGTCCAGAAGAGATCCTGCTGTAAGAGTGTCTGCTGATATCGTAAATGAGATTGTCAAGGAGTCTGCGACTCAAATCATACAGTCTGTAGTGGATGAAATGGTCAGAGATCACATGACTGTTATAAAGACTGGTGATTGGCTGGAGGACTTCGTTTTGGAAGCAATAGGACCCATGCTTCCTAGAGTGGTAGGGACATCTTTTCTTTTTTCTATGAATTAATTAATTAATTTATTTATCTATTTACTTATTTATTTATTTGTTTGTTAAATCGATTTTTACCTGCCTCTAGTAGGTGTTTTTACCTTTCTGTTCAAACTCGCCAATATCCACAAATATTTGGAACATCCTCAGTCTACATCTTTGTAAATCTTCCGTGATATTTTGTACCTTTACAAAATGCATTCAGCTATAATAACTGTCAATTCGCTTGAGATTTTGATATATTGAACTTACTGGAAAAAGAGAGAAAAATTCCAACCCCCTGACACACCTTCAGGCATTTTGTAAATAAAAAACTAACAAAATAAAACCGATTTGTAGTTTTCAAATTCACCAAGGCTGTGCTCTAGCAAAGCAAGATGGCTCCTCAGGCTTCTAATGTTTGCCTCTAGCCGACCAAAAAATCTTAGTTCTTTTTTCACAGAAATTGTATACTTTGCACCCTGGAATTCATATGTGCAGAGCACTCGACTCTATTCATATTGGAGCACCGCCTTGTTGTTCACTGATGTTCATTTTGTTATATTGTCTTCTTAGTTTAGCAGACTACCTCTTTCTTTAGCCATATCAATTTAGTCCAAAACTTGTGCTTTAGGTTTTTGAAGCGATACAGCAATCTCAAGATGATTCACTTATTAACAGCATTATCGATGAGGTGATGGAACCTCAGCTAAGACAAGTTGTTATCGAGGCATGGCGCGATGTGGCTGATGTCAATCGAAGTAAACAGGTCAAAAAGGTAACTGACATAACCTGTATATTGCCTTCTCCCTCCCCACCCCCACCCCTTAGTATGCTACACAATACAAGAGCATAGGCTTGCATATTCATGATAGAACTCAACGTTAATGGATGCATTGGGGAGCTTAAGCAACAGCGATGGCGATGGAGGTGGCTAGGAAAACGTCACATAAAAAGTAAATCTGCGGTGCTTCAAATTTTATCAAGCTTATTCCATCTCCCTCAGTTCACGAAATGTTGGCGAATTGGTTTGGAGTTGAATTCTAAACGACTGTACTGAAGTTCAGGGGAAAAAGAATGTCATTTTCTCGTGTTCCTGTCCTCCACAAAACGTGAAAGTAGGAAGTTTCATGCTGTAGTTGTGCAGTGACAGGAAAGAAATGTACAAAAAGTGTGGTGCACGTGCATAGTTGTTGTTTTGCTTATCTAAACCTATTGCTTTCTTGCTGTTCTCATTCCTGCCGCCGTCGTCGTTTCTTAAAGCTCCCTCTTACCTGTAAATGACCGCAAAATCACGGCCTTGTGTCTGACAAATATGTCTCCGAAGCATCAAATCAGATGTTAAAAACAGCGAAACTGAACTTTTAATCTTATTCAAGCTTGTCCATCTGTGCTCTCCTCTGTAGTTATACCTTCTTTTAATGTTTCACACCTTTGATCTTTTTTTTCATTCAATATGGTAACATTTTTTTTGGCCACTGTTTCAAGTTTGATAAATTTCTCAACACCTCTGCTTGGTAGCAGGGGTGGTGTAGCAAAGACAGCTCTCCTCACCCAACATTATTGTCCAGGTTGAAATCCCGGTGTCGACGCCATATTTGGTTTCACTTTGTTGTTGCAGGTTCTCTCCCTTATTGAGAGAGGTTTTTCACAGGGTACTCTGGTTTCGCGCTCTTTAAAAACCAACATATCCAAATTCGAATTTGACCAGGAATCAGGTAGACAAAGAACCACTGTTCGGATGTGCTACCTCTTTATTGTTATTTGTTTATTTCTTTGTTTGTTTATTTATTTTTTGTGAAGAACCTTGTTGCCTATTCTCCCATCTGTGTGCAACTCGTTCCCACACTCCCTTTGGGTGATAGGATAACTAGGGTGACAAAGGTGACTTGGGTAACAAAGGTAACTTGGGTGACTTGAGTGACTAGGGTGGTGGAACAGTAATGGTGGAACTGTCATGGTGGAACACTTGTGGTGGAACAGTAATAGTAGAACAGTCATGGTGAAACAGTGATGGTGGAACAGTAATGGTTTAACAGTAATAGTGGAACCGTCATGGTGTAACAGTCACAGTGGAACAGTCATGGTGGAACAGTAATGGTCAAACAGTACTAGTGGAACAATCATGGTAAACAGTAATGGTCGAACAGTCATAGTGGAACTGTCATGGTGAAACAGTGATGGTAGAAGAGTCATGGTGGAACAGTAATAGTGGAACAGTGATGATGGAACAGTCATGGTGGAACAGTAATAGTGGAACAGTAATGGTGGAACAGTCATGGTGGAACAGTCATGGTGGAACACTCGTGGTGGAACAGTAATAGTGGAACAAAGATGGTGGAACAGTCATGGTGGAACAGTAATAGTGCAACAGTAATGGTGGAACAGTCAAGGTGGAACACTCATGGTGGAACAGTAATAGTGGAAAAGTCATGGTGAAACAGTGATGGTGGAACAGTCATGGTGGAACAGTAATAGTGGAACAGTAATGGTAGAACAGTCATGCTGCAATGCTGCAACAGTAATAGTGGAACAGTGACCGTGGAACAGTAATGGTGGAACAGTGATGGTAGAACAGTCACACTGGAACAGTCATGGTGGAACACTCGTGGTGGAACAGTAATAGTGGAACAGTAATGGTAGAACAGAGATGGTGGAACAGTCATGGTGGAACAGTAATAGTGAAACAGTCATGGTGGAACAGTCATAGTGGAACAGTCATGGTGGGACACTCATGGTGGAACAATAATAGTGGAACAGTCATGGTGAAACAGGGATGGTGGAACAGTGATGGTGGAACAGTGATGGTGGAACAGTGATGGTGGAACAGTAATGGTGGAACAGTAATAGTGGAAAAGTCATGGTTAACAGTTATAGTGGAACAGTCATAGTGAAACAGTCATGGTGGAACACTAAGTCTTGTGGTGGAACAGTAATAGTGGGACAGTCATAGTTAAATAGTGATGGTGGAACAGTCAGTGGTGATGGTCAAACACTTATGGTGAAACAATAATAGTGGAACAGTAGTGGTGAAACAGTCATGGCGGAACAGTCATGGTGGAAACGTAATAGTGGAACAGTAATTGTAGAACAGTCATAGTGGGACAGTCATGGTGGAACACTTGTGGTGGAACAGTAAAAGTGGAACCGTCATGGCGAAACAGTGATGGTGGAACAGTAATGGTGGAACAATAATAGTGGAACAGTATTGGTGGAACAGTCATGGTGAAACAGTGATGGTAGAACACTCGTGGTGGAACAGTAATAGTGGACCATCATGGTAAAACAGTGATGGTGGAACAGTACTAGAGGAACAGTCATGGTGGAACATTCATGGTGCAACAGTAATGGTAGAACAGTTACGGTGGAACAGTTATCCTAGAACAGTAATAGTGGAACAGTCATGGTGGGACACTCATGGTGGAACAATAATAGTGGAACAGACATGGTGAAACAGGGATGGTGGAACAGTGATGGTGGAACAGTAATAGTGGAAAAGTCATGGTAAACAGTTGTGGTGGAACAGTCATAGTGGAACAGTCATGGTGGAACACTTGTGATCGAACAGTAATAGTGGGACAGTCATAGCTAAATAGTGATGCATTATGGTGAAACAGTCATAGTGCTGATGGTAGAACACTAATGGTGGAACAATAATAGTGGAACAGTAGTGGTGAAACAGTCATGGCGGAACAGTCATGGTGGAACAGTAATAGTGGAACAGTAATTTTAGAACAGTCATAGTGGGACAGTCATGGTGGAAAACTTGTGGTGGAACAGTAATAGTGCAACCGTCATGTTGAAACAGTGATGGTGGAACAGTAATGGTGGAACAGTAATAGTGGAACAGTAATGGTGGAACAGTCATAGTGGAACAGTCATGGTGAAACACTTGTGGTGGAACAGTAATAGTGGAAACGTCATTGTAAAAAAGTGATGGTGGAAATGTCATAGTGGAACAGTAATGGTGGAACTGTCATAATGGAACACTCGTGGTGGAACAGTAATAGTGGAACAGTCATGGTGAAACAGTCATGGTGGAAGAGTAATGGTCAAACAGTACTAGTGGAACAATCATGGTAAACAGTAATGGTGGAACAGTAATAGTGGAACAGTGATGGTGGAAGAGTCATGGTGGAACAGTAATAGTGGAACAGTAGTGGTGGAACAGTCACAGTGGAACAGTCATGGTGGAACACTCGTGGTGGAACAGTAATAGTGGAACAGTAAATTATGGTGGAACAGAGATGGTGGAAGAGTCATGGTGGAACAGTAATAGTGGAACAGTAATGGTGGAACAGTCACAGTGGAACAGACAAGGTGGAACACTCCTGGTGGGACACAGTAATAGTGGAACAGTCATGGTGGAACAGTAATAGTGGAACAGTACTACAGGAACAGTGATGGTGGAACAGTAATGGTGAAACAGTGATGGTGGAAGAGTCATGGTGGAACAGTAATAGTGGAACATTCATGGTGGAACTGTCATGGTGGAACAGTAATGGTGGAACAGCCACAGTGGAACAGTCATGGTGGAACACTCGTGGTGAAACAGTAATAGTGGAACAGTAATGGTGGAACAGAGATGGTGGAACAGTCATGGTGGAACAGTAATAGTGGAACAGTAATGGTGGAACAGTCAAGGTGGAACACTCGTGGTGGAACAGTTATAGTGGAACAGTCATGGGGGAACAGTGATGGTGGAACAGTCATGGTGGAACAGTAATAGTGGAACAGTACTACAGGAACAGTGATGGTGGAACAGTAATGGTGAAACAGTGATGGTGCAACAGTCATGGTGGAACAGTAATAGTAAAACAGTGATGGAACGGTCACAGTGGAAGAGTCATGGTGGAACAGTCATGGTGGAAAAGTAAAAAAAGTGGAAAAGTCATGGTGAAACAGTGATGGTGGAACAGTCATGGTGGAACATTAATAGTGGAACAGTACTACAGGAACAGTGATGATGGAACAGTCATGGTGCAACAGTGATGGTGCAACAGTGATGGTGAAAGTGATGGTGCAACAGTCATGGTGGAACAGTAATAGTAAAACAGTGATGGAACGGTCACAGTGGAAGAGTCATGGTGGAACAGTCATGGTGGAAAAGTAAAAAAAGTGGAAAAGTCATGGTGAAACAGTGATGGTGGAACAGTCATGGTGGAACATTAATAGTGGAACAGTACTACAGGAACAGTGATGATGGAACAGTCATGGTGAAACAGTGATGGTGAAACAGTGATGGTGTAACAGACATGGTGGAACAGTAATAGTGGAACAGTAATGGTGAAACAGTGATGGTGAAACAGTGATGGTGTAACAGACATGGTGGAACAGTAATAGTGGAACAGTAATGGTGAAACAGTGATGATGTAACAGACATGGTGGAACAGTAATAGTGGAACAGTAATGGTGAAACAGTGATGATGTAACAGACATGGTGGAACAGTAATAGTGGAACTGTAATAGTGGAACAGTCATGATAGAACACTCGTGGTGGAACAGTAATAATGGAACAGTAATGGTAGAACGGTCATGCTGCAACAGTAATAGTGGAACAGTGACAGTGGAACAGTAATGGTGGAACAGTGATGGTAGAACAGTCACAGTGGAACAGTCATGGTGGAACACTCATGGTGGAACAGTAATAGTGGAACAGTAATGGCGGAACAAAGATGGTGGAACAGTCATGGTGGAACAGTAATAGTGAAACAGTCATGGTGGAACAGTCATAGTGGAACAGTCATGGTGGGACACTCATGGTGGAACAATAATAAAGGAACAGTCATGGTGAAACAGGGATGGTGGAACAGTGATGGTGGAACAGTAATGGTGGAACAGTAATAGTGGAGAGTCATGGTTAACAGTTATAGTGGAACAGTCATAGTGGAACAGTCATGGTGGAACACTAAGTCTTGTGGTGGAACAGTAATGGTGGGACAGCCATAGTTAAATAGTGATGGTGGAACACTAATGGTGGAACAATAATAGTGGAACAGTAGTGGTGAAACAGTCATGGCGGAACAGTCATGGTGGAACAGTAATAGTGGAACAGTAATTGTAGAACAGTCATAGTGGAACCGTCATGGTGAAATAGTGATGGTGGAACAGTAATGGTGGAATAGTAATAGTGGAACAGTATTGGTGGAACAGTCCTACTGGAACAGTCATGGTGGAACACTCGTGGTGGAACAGTTATAGTGGACCGTCATTGTAAAACAGTGATGGTGGAACAGTCATGGTGGAACAGTAATAGTGGAACAATACTAGAGGAACAGTGATGGTGGAACAGTCATGGTGCAACAGTAATGGTAGAACAGTTACGGTGGAACAGTTATCCTGGAACAGTAATAGTGAAACAGTCATAGTGGAACAGTCATGGTGGGACACTCATGGTGGAACAATAATAGTGGAACAGTCATGGTGAAACAGGGATGGTGGAACAGTGATGGTGGAACAGTAATGGTAGAACAGTAATAGTGGAACAGTAATGGTGGAACAGTCATACTGGAACAGTCATGGTGGAATACTCGTGGTGGAACAGTAATAGTGGACCGTCATTGTAAAACAGTGATGGTGGAACAGTCATGGTGGAACAGTAATAGTGGAACAGTTCTAGAGGAACGGTGATGGTGGAACAGTCATGGTGCAACAGTAATGGTAGAACAGTTACGGTGGAACAGTTATCCTGGAACAGTAATAGTGAAACAGTGATGGTGGAACAGTCATAGTGGAACAGTCATGGTGGGACACTCATGGTGGAACAATAATAGTGGAACAGTCATGGTTAAACAGGGATGGTGGAACAGTGATGGTGGAATAGTAATGGTGGAACAGTAATAGTGGAACAGTAATGGTGGAACAGTCATACTGGAACAGTCATGGTGGAATACTCGTGGTGGAACAGTAATAGTGGACCGTCATGGTAAAACAGTGATGGTGGAACAGTAATGGTTTAACAGTAATAGTGGAACAGTAATTTTAGAACAGTCATAGTGGGACAGTCATGGTGGAACAGTAATAGTTGATCAGTCATGGTGAAACAGTCATGGTGAGACAGTAATGGTGGAACAGTAAAAGTGGAACAGTAATGGTGGAACAGTCATAGTGGAACAGTCATGATGGAACAGTCATGGTGGAACAGTAATGGTCAAACATTACTAGTGGAACAATCATGGTAAACAGTAATGGTCGAACAGTCATAGTGGAACTGTCATGGTGAAACAGTGATGGTGGAAGAGTCATGGTAAAACAGTGATGGTGGAAATGTCATGGTGGAACAGTAATGGTGGAACTGTCATGGTGGAACACTCGTGGTGGAATAGTAATAGTGGAACAGTCACAGTGGAACAGTCATGGTGGAACAGTAATGGTCAAACAGTACTAGTGGAACAATCATGGTCAACAGTAATGGTCGAACAGTCATAGTGGAACTGTCATGGTGAAACAGTGATGGTGGAAGAGTCATGGTGGAACAGTAATAGTGGAACAGTGATGGTGTAACAGTCATGGTGGAACAGTAATAGTGGAACAGTAATGGTGGAACAGTCACAGTGGAACAGTCATGGTGGAACACTTGTGGTGGAACAGTAATAGTGGAACAGTAATGGTGGAACAGAGATGGTGGAACAGTCATGGTGGAACAGTAATAGTGGAACAGTAATGCTGGAACAGTAATGGTTGAACAGTAATAGTGGAACCATCATGGTGAAACAGTCACAGTGGAACAGTCATGGTGGAACAGTAATGGTCAAACAGTACTAGTGGAACAATCATGGTAAACAGTAATGGTCGAACAGTCATAGTGGAACTGTCATGGTGAAATAGTCATGGTGGAAGAGTCATGGTGGAACAGTAATAGTGGAACAGTGATGGTGGAAGAGTCATGGTGGAACAGTAATAGTGGAACAGTAATGGTGGAACAGTCACAGTGGAACAGTCATGGTGGAACACTCGTGGTGGAACAGTAATATTGGAACAGTAATGGTGGAACAGAGATGGTGGAAGAGTCATGGTGGAACAGTAATAGTGGAACAGTAATGGTGAAACAGTGATGGTGTAACAGACATGGTGGAACAGTAATAGTGGAACTGTAATAGTGGAACAGTCATGATAGAACACTTGTGGTGGAACAGTAATAATGGAACAGTAATGGTAGAACAGTGATGCTGCAACAGTAATAGTGGAATAGTGACAGAGGAACAGGAATGGTGGAACAGTGATGGTAGAACAGTCACGGTGGAACAGTCACGTTGGAACAGTCATGGCGGAACAGTCATGCTGGAGTAGTAATAGTGGAACAGTGGGAGTGGAACAGTGATTTTAGAACAGTCAGTGGAACAGTGACAGTAAAACAGTCATGGTAGAACAGTCATAGTGGAACATACATGCTGAAACACTCATGGTGGAACAGTAATAGTGGAACAGTCATGGTTGAACAGTGATGGTAGAACAGTCATGGTAAAACAGTCTTTGTGGAACAGTCTTGGTGGAAAGTCATGTTGGAACATGTGGTTCGTGGTGGAACAGTAACAATAGAACAGCAATAGTGGAACAGTCATGGTTGAACAATCATCGTGGAACAGTGATGGTGGAACAGTCATGGTGGAACAGTCGTGGTGAAACAGTAATGGTTAAACAGTCATAGTGGAACAGTGACGGTGAAATAGTAATGGTGGAACAGCCACAGGGGAACAGTGATGGTGGAAAAGGGAACGTGAAACAGTGATGGTGGAACACTGATGGTGGAATAGTCATTGTGGAACAGTAATACTGGAACAGTGACAATGAAACTGTATGGATGAAACAGTCATAGTGGAACAGTCGTGGTGAAACAGTCATGGTGCAAAAATAATTTTAAAACAGTAATAGTGGAACAGTGACGGTGGAACGGTCATGGTGGAACAGTCATGGTTTAACAGTGACTCTGGAACAGTCATGGTGGAACAGTAATAGCAGAACAGTCACGTTGGAACATTAATGGTGGAACAGTCATAGTGAAACAGTCATGGTGGAACAGTGATGGAATGGTGACTAGGTTAACCTGGGTGACTAAGGTGAATTGGTTGATTAGGTTGACTTGGGTGACCAGGATGACTTGGGTGACTAGGGTGACCTGGGTGACTAGGGTGACTAGGGTTACTTGGGTGACTAGGGTGACTTGTGTGACTAGGGTGACTTGGGTGACTAGGGTGACTTGGGTTACTTGGGTGACTAGGGTGACTTGTGTGACTAGGGTGACTGGGGTGACTNTTGTGGGACTAGCTGTCCTTGGTTGGTTAGGTTTGTTGTGATATCTAGGATCTTTAAGTGTTTTAGGATGATTTGTGTGACTAGGTGGACTTTGTGACTAGGTTGACGTGAGTGAGTAGGCTGACTTGGGTGACTAGGGTGATTGGGGTGACTAGGCTGACTTGGGTGACTAGGGTGACTTGGGTGACTCGGGAGACTTGGGTGACTTGGGTGGCTCGGGTGACTTGGGTGACTGGGGTGACTTGGGTGACTCAGGTGACTTGGGTGACTAGTGTGACTAGGGTAACTTGGGTGACTATTGTGACTGGGGTGAGTTCAGTGACTTGGGTCACTAGGTGAGTAGGATGACTAGGGTGACGTAGGTGAATAGGGTGACGTAGGTGACTAGGGTGACTGTGCTGATTAGGGTGACTTGGGTGACGAGGGTTACTTGGGTGACTAGGGTCACTTGGGTGACTTGGGTGACCTTGGTGACTTGGTGACTTGGGTGACTAGGGTCACTTGGGTGACCTTGGTGACTAGGGTGACTTGGATGAAAATTGTGACTTGGGTGACAAGGGTGACTCGGGTGACTAGGCTGACTTGGGTGACTAGAGTGACTAGGGTGGCCTGGGTGACTTGGGTGACTTGGGTGACTAGGGTGACTTGGGTGACTTTGGTGACTAGTTTAACTTGAATGACTTGGGTGAGTTGTGTGACTAGAGTTACTTGTGTGACTTTGGTCACTAGGGTGGCTAGTTTAACTAGGGTGACTTGGTTGACTACGGTATGTTGGGTGACTTAATGAACTTTGGTGGCTGAGGTAACTTTGGTGACTTGGGTGGGTAGGGTGCGATAAGAAGTAAATTGGAGAATAGTATAATAGGAGTTGTGATCCATGATTTTGTTTCGGTTCTACGATTACTTTGATTCTGGAGTCTCGTTTCACGCTTTTGTTATTCTTATTCTTGCTTGAAGAATCGTGTAATCGGAGCGTTGTCTTTAATGCAGGTTTTCTAAATCGCAGAATACTAACATTAGAGGAAATATGCAGTGCTAAATCTGAGAATAGTACCCCTAAATCGGTTATACTTTTTTCTGATTTAGCAGTTTTTGAGCCGCTCTCGCCATTGCAACGAGGTTACACTGTGAAGTGAGTGTGTGAATAAGTACTTCTGTCTGTTTCAGGTGTCGATTTACGCTGAGGATCACCTTGTGGATGCTCTGTTTCTTCAACACCTTTTGAGTCAGTTGACTGGTGATAACCTGTCTCTGTATTTCAATGACTACACGGACCAGCTGTTAGATGGTGAGTCAGTATACAGCACACTCAAAAAGGATTTAACTATTGTAGGCACCATATCCGGCCATTTCGCTACAAAGCGTCTCGCTACATGACGTTTTGCTATAGAGACGTCTCAATTAGCCAAGGCTTTTTTATTCGCTACTCCCAAATTGCCCTAGCTTTCTAGCGCGACATATTTTTGCTCGTCTCTTCTCGCCACCCAAAAGGTGGAACCGGACAGCTCCTATACCGGTATAGTGAGAACAACAAGGCGCAGTACGGGAAAAGTCGTTCACACACATCGAACATCGTGCCCAAGCGATTGGCCGAGAGGGTCTGGTGCAGTAAATCCCAGTTCTCAGTCCTCACTATTTACCTCCGGCTCAGTGGGTTCCAGTCCTCACTCCTACTTATTCACTTCCGCTACGGTCCGAATACCCGTTCATAGCCCCATGCGGCATGATTGTCACTTCTGCCGGTGTAAGAGTCATCCGGTATTGTGTAAACACAGCCTAATACACCTACCTTTAATTACAGGTCTGATCTGTGGTATGCTGACTCATCAGTATTTAGCTATAGGCGATGAACAAGAAGCAACACAAAGGAATGCAGGAGTGAAAGAACTTCATGAAGAAATATTTTGTGATGTGGTAAGAACAGTATTCTGTCTACAACTTTTAAAAAGGCTATGTCAAGATTCTGTACTGAAGTCATTACTTAGTGTCTTTCCCCACACACAAAATCCTCCTGTAGAGTTATGAAGTATATTGATATCAAACAAATTTCATCAGGGAACACTAACCATAATACTTTGTTTGGTGATCTTTGCAGGCATAGCACTAAAGCTTTAAGACGGAATCCATCAGGAATTTTTTTTTACATTTTTCAAGGGCTATCGATATTTAACAATTATTCCTCAAGCCCGAATGGGCTCTGAGTCAATAGGCTATTGACTCAGAGGCCATGAGGGCGAGAGGAATAATTGTTTTAGTAGAATCCAACTAGTTGGTCAAAAATATCGAGACAAGACAACTTAAGCTACCAAAACGCGATTCAGCCGCCATTGTTTTGGTTTTCAAAGTCGGCGCTTTTCGCTTCTAGTGGGCTATAACATATAGCCTAGTAGTAGCTCAACCAATCAGAACGCAGCATTGATAATAGACCACCAGCTGGATTTTACTAAAATTAGTTATCTGTAATAACACCAAAGACTATTTCTCGTGGGAGCTCGAGAAAAATCGATGTCAAATTTCACAAGAATTGTGAAAACTCAAGTAAAATTCTGAAAATTTCATGTGTAAGATGTCATTTTGTGAAATTTGACATTTATTTTCTCGGGCTGTCATGACAAATTTTCTTTGGTGTTATTGCAGATAACTAATTACATCTATAGGCCTTGAAAAATGTAAAGAGAATGCGATATTGTTTAAATTATTCTGGTACAAGGTTTTTGTCCACTGAAAATTAAAATTACTTAATTTACTGATGGATTCTGTCTTAAAACGTTGGCCCAATTTTTTCAAACCTCAATCCATGTCCATCCTCGCCATCCGTTGCAACCGGCGACAAGAAACAGTTTCAATGCCTAAACATAGTCTTCAATAACAAAACTGGACCAATATGTTGGGGAAAATAGACCTTTTCACGGTTTTTTTCAACTTTTTATATGGACCATTTAGGGAAAATCCGTGGACACCTCTGAAAAGACCGCCTCAAAAATAGTAAAATTGCTGAATTTGAAAGTGATACGTCTTTATTAACGTGCGACTTTACAGCTCCGCAAAGTTGCGAAAATTTACAGACGTTTGTATCCTGGGGGCAAATTTGTGCCCCCTACCACACAAACGTCTATAAAATTTCGCGAATTTTGAAGAGCTGTATCTTTGTAAGCTTTCAACAAATCACTTTCAAACTTGGTAATTTTACTAATTTTAAGGCGCTCTTTTATGTGGTGTCGACAGATTTTCCCGAACTTGTCCAGGTCAAAAGTTGAAAAAAAAACGTGAATAGGTCTTTTCAGTTGATATGAAGAGAGGCTTTAACGTTTTTATAAAGACAGCAAAGAGCGTGGCATACCGGTAGCCCCCTTAANTGTCGACAGATTTTCCCGAACTTGTCCAGGTCAAAAGTTGAAAAAAAAACGTGAATAGGTCTTTTCAGTTGATATGAAGAGAGGCTTTAACGTTTTTATAAAGACAGCAAAGAGCGTGGCATACCGGTAGCCCCCTTAAAGCTTTTGAACTGAGTGTGATCATATAATTATTGTGAGGCATGGTGGTGAGTGAGTGCGGTAAGTGTGTATCAGGTCGTTTCGCCGGATAGCAGTTCGCGCAGACCAAGTCGATTCGCTCGAAGCGTATTTGTCGTTCTTTAAGCCTGAAAAAAGGGAATATGCATGGAAAGACAGTGACTACACATGTGGAATCCAAGGGCAACTAAAATAACACCTCTAAAGGCATTTTCACCATGTTTTAGAGTGTTGTATGTCATCAGGCGAATCGACCAATGTCCTGGTGAACGCCGTCGGGCGAAACGACCGCATTTCGGTAAGTGTGTCGCTAACGGCAGCACTTAGTATAGTTTTCACTACCGAGTCGGAACAGAAGCGAGACCGGAAGCAGCATATCTTATTGGCGGAGCATAAATGGTGTAAGGGGGAAAGCCGTTGCCTCTCACCGATGCGGCCCGGGTTCACCTCTCGGTGTCGACGCTCAATGTGGGTTAATTTTGTCGTTGGTTTGTCCCTGCTTATACATAGCACGTGCAGTTCGTGCAAAGAACAAAAGTGAGGTTTACATGGAGTTCTAACGAAAACGGACCTTAAAAAATTATTGAAGTACCTTTCATGGTGGCCTGTTGAAACTTGACAAAGATAAAACATCTTTTTCTCATTGAAATGTTTGTGGACCCTGGTGAGTCCTTCCAAGAGGGTATTGATGAACCCAAAAAACTGTAGTGTTTTCGGGAAGTAGTCGTGAAATATTCTTCACAGAAATCAATGCTTGATTACCATTTATATGCTTTGTAGGCTTTGGATGTTTTAATGGAGGAACTGACAGCGCATTTGGATGAAGACATGCAAGATTTACTTGAACGTGAAAGAGAGAGGAACAAATAGGATCTTTAAGGACACGTTATAATAGGAGTAAGAATCCAAGAGAGTTTTGATTTCAAAATTTGCCTTCGGACTTGAAAAGTTACCGGACCTTTCGATAAACTGGTCCCTGGTCTGTCCGTTCATTACTACCTTGGATGGGTAGGTCGGCATGGAAACTGCATATCGGCTTGATCATCCCACCACCTAATCTCCTTCGCAGCCGTTATTAGGGTCGTCACGCAAAGCTCCTCCCCACTAGAGGGGGGAGGGGGGAGCGTTGCGTGACGAGCCTAATAACGGCTGCGAAGGAGACTACCTACAACCAGTCAGAGAAAAAAAGTCAGTTATTCTCTACATGCAGTTAGCCAGTCCCTGCCGAGTCTGCCGTAAAGACCTTTCCACTGCTAATCTGCTGATTCCACCAGCCTGACAAACAGTAAGACACTTACCTGCTTTGTTAGGAAGACAGCATGTAAGTCAATCAGGGCATCATTTACTCAGTAATTCTCTTTACTTTTATACGGCTGGCTCATCGAGAGGGCAATATGTAGAGAATCCTATCTGCGTACCCTGCGAACAGAACTACGTGACTAACAACCGATGCAAACGACTCGGTCAATGCTAAAAGGCATGCAGCTCCTCTGTTTGGGGGGTATTTTTCCCTATGGAATTGGATATTTAACGGCCCTTGTGCACAGGCAAAAAATTGGACTTTGTTTCAAGGCTAGTATTTTCTTCAAAGAGAGGTAGATCCCCTGTTTCATAAAAATAAATATAACAACCACCGTTTACCCAGCACCCTTTTATTGTTGTTGATGTTTTTTTTTTTTCGTATTAGTAGCTTAACACAGCACAGGCTTAACTAATTCCAAAGCACTTTTACGTTTTCGTATTTTCCATTTTTTCCATTTTCTTAATACCTTTAAGATACCCTTAAGATTACAGAAAGTTTTCAAGAGCTCTTAATTTACTCTCATATCAAAAGAACGTCTTTCTCTTAACAGAAACGGTCCCTTATCATAAGAGCAAAATCCGAAAATGCAAAATTATTTTCCACCGCTCATAAATTAGTACCCTTTTACCAAATATTACTCTTCTGTTAACTCGCAATGCAAAGCAAATCTTGTAATGTAACCACGGTTACTTGAGCCAGATCGTCAGGTGTGGAGACTGATGGTTGTGTGACCTGTTCGGCCAATCAGAATCACTGCTTGGACTATCGTAACCACTGGCACTCTGGGACCAGCCATGCGCAGTGGATCCTTTGGTCATTACCCCAACAGACATACAGTTGTCGTTTGTGGCGGTGTAGCCTACAGTGTTGTAAGAGGCGTAAGGATACGAGCCTCCATGGCTAGTAAGAGGCATTATCCCAAACTTGTTTTGGTAACAGATCTAGGAGAAAAAAATCAGCAAGAGACCTACAGAAAGCTGTTTTGAGTTCACTGATTGTTTGTGATAAACTAGTATTTTGTGCACCGCTCGATAGATGTACTCTGAGATAGGGTGTGAATTGCAAGGCTGACTCTTCTCTTCTGTCAAGTGTTTTTGCAACCGAGTTTAAAAGCGACAAGCCCCTCTTTAGATCTCCTCTTTAGCGCTGAATAGTGCTATCCACCGGATAAATCATTTTATTATTCATTCAAAATATTTCGCCTTTTCTAACTGGCTCATTTCTCCCGGCAAAATTCTTCACAATCAGCCGTCGTTGATCAAATTTGGAAGATGCGAGCAATATACTTGCTTGGTAACGAGGCTGATTTAAGGTATATTTGCCTGGAAACGAGGCTGCTGGATTTTATCTACTTTTTGATGAGTATCTGCGAGAGGAAAAATCCTGAAACTTTGTCGATCATACTCAGCCTTATACAATAAATTGTTAAATGAACAATTATAGGGGAACCAATTTCGTTATTCACTGGATAGAAATTTGTCCAGTGGATAACGCTATCCACTCCACAAATTGGGCTTAAAGGACACAGGTGAGTGGCGGATTCAGACTTTTATGGAAGGGGCCCAAGTGCAGCATATTTTCGACAAAGGAAAGACCAGTTCTTATCCATCCATTCCAAGCGTACACCATGACGGGTGTTTGTACAGCTGCCTTCACAGCTGATGGTCCAACAGAATAGCGCCAAAACGAGTCTTTTTCCCTACCACCAGGCAACCTCCACATGACCCACTTGCTCCCCAACCCATCCATCCTCTCACCGCTGGACAACAGGACCGTGGACGACTCATCTACTGCTAAGCTGCGCGCGTCAAAGCAAGCAAACTGTTTCTGTCCTGTGATCTTTGGAGACTTCAACGAGGCAGTGTTGTGCTTAGACACCAACCATTTATCGTAAATGTTGCCCACATTTCCGCCGATTTTCCCTACAAGGGTCCAGCCACCGTTTTTCATGTCGCAGTAAGTCTGCACAGACGAGCTGCCTTGGAGGTCTGTCTTGATCCAGTAAACGCCATTCTTAGCGCGCGGTTTGTTGCTCGCGAGACTTGCATCATGAATCTGTTTGCATGAGTCTGCAGGAAGCTTTTTCTCGCCTAACAGGGCACTTTTCTTGGGAAGGAATGACTGGAAAGATCCCAGGGTGATGTTTGGGGGTGTAGAAACCACGAAAGTCACTTTGATATTGTCATAAAGGGTTTTACAGTTGTGGGGGGAGTGATGGCATCCCAGTCCAAATGTTCCTGCTGGTATCATCCATTTGGAGCTCACTTGGATGTTGTCGTGTACCATTGAGAGAATCTGTCACCCATCACTCGATATTTGAAGTGAAACCACTTGTTTAATTGGAAAGCTGTGGGTAACTTTGCGTTGTATCTCCATTTGCCGTCGTTGTTATTGAACAAGGGTCTCATTGTACAGGTGCTGCCACGTTTTATGTAGTATTCAAACCACCAACCCGTCGTTTTGGACAGGCCCGCATTACTGAGGCGCAGTAATGGCCCGGGAGCGCTATTTGTTGTTCCTTTTTCCATTAAGTCAAGCTCGACCTGAACATCCTTCCACTGAAAACCTGATTTGAGATACAGTCCGACCTCAATATGATCTTTACTTAAATCTTTACTCTGCATTGTGCTTCCCAGCAAGCTCCCGTTTTCCACGCTCCATTTCCCCCAGTTTTTCACCCATTCTTTCTGTAACGTCGCACTCGAAAAATCGTCGAAAAATGCGTACACTTTGGCAGGATCATCCATGGCACTTCCGCTGACCGAAGCACCGAGGACCAAAAAATAAGACACGTCATCAGCGGTGTTGGATGATATTGGAGCCTGCAGTCGAAAGTGGACAGTTGCTGATTTTGTTCCAGGCCACTGATAACGCGGTCAATTTGGAACGGTTGCTGCCCCTTGTCATGGTAATAGACCTGCAAATCTTCGCCATCTTCACGTGTTAGTCGTCCGCGGTCTAGCATCTCTCGGTGGTTCACTGAGGAGAGAAGACTCATGTCAATCAATGTCGCAAGTCATTCAAAGTATTTCACTATTGATCAAGGGTGAGAACCAAATCTGGGAAAAATTTTTTCCAGTCAGCCTTGAAAAGAGAATAGAAGATAATTTCCTATTATATATGAAGGTAAGGAAGACTTAAGGAGTGACACGTTTTGATGCAATAAATACCACAAATAACTGATCTTTATTGTTATACCTTATTTCACGTGCTATCAAAACATGCTATTATTTACTCTTGGTTCTATCACACTAATTTTCACGGGTAGGTATTTCACTTCGTAAAACTGGTAGAATATTAGGCTGAATTCATTGATTGACTGGTTTAAGAGGTCAGCAATAGTTTTGAAACGTTGAATAATTTGTTACTATTCTCACTTAAGATTTCTTTCTTCTTCCCTCCCCTTGTTATACGTTAAATATTTGAAAGTTCAAAACGCAAATGTGTCATTTGAATTTAATATTTCTTAGTGTTTTCATAACTTTCTTCACTTCGCTCAAAGTAGGTTTCGAAAGAACTTTATTGCTTCGATTCGCTGAAAAATATTGAAATGTGAATACTTTTATCCAGTTTATAAATTCGGGGAAAAAATTCTTTTAACTTTACCTGCTACACTTATAGTAAAGTGCTTGGGCAGTGGGGATACTGTTGCAATTCGTATTGGCATTTTACCGCCTGACCAGACCATACAGGACTGATATCTCGAAGTGTTCCCCTTGGAGAGCTTTTCCAAAAGATGTTGAACTGACCTCAACAGGGCGATTTCTTCTTTGGCGACGGGAGTCAATTTCGCAGTATCTCTCTGCATAGCCTCGGCCTTTGTTTCCTTTTCGTTCAAAGATTTCAAATCTAAAGTCAACTTGGAAATCAACGAGTCGATCTCACTTTTCGCGCGGTGAACTTCGCCATGTTTGGAGGGCTTTGTGGCTTGGGATTTTGTAATCCCATCAAACGAGGAGAGCAACAAAGCGATTAACAGAAAAAACTGGCATACTTGGAAAGCCATTTCGATGGCGACAAATACAACTCACTACAATAGCACAGGGTCCAGAGGAGATGTGTTTTTCGTTAGAACATCAAAACCCGTCGAAAACCTCTGAAAAAATGGGTTATTTTGATCGCGTTACAGTTTCGTTACACATTCTATTGACCGCAAACCAAGAGACTGAGGGCGCGCAAGATCGGTACTTCGTGCCTCGGTCGCCCTTCGGGCGACGTTCCTTGCTCCACCGAGGATATGGCTTGCGGTTATTGATTTTCAAAATGGCGAACAACAAAGTCGATCTGGGTCAGATAAGAAGCGAAGAAATCGTTTACAGTAGATTCATTAAGATCCCATTAGGCTAATTAATCGTGCTAAGCGCCAGGTATAGACATTTTTCAAGGTGAGTCTTTAAATAAGTAATGCATTTATTCACACGAAACTCCTCTGGACCCTGTGCAATAGTTCGCAATTGTAAATTAATATGTTGGCTATACAAAGGAATGGTTACCGAATGACTGAATGAATCATGATAGTCGAAGAATGCTGAAGCCACATTTTCAAGTTATTTTTTCGTGAATAATATAGACTGGTTACATACTCAGACGTCACAAAAAAGCTCACCCTCCCAAACTTGTTTTGGTACTTGGTACGCGGGTGATATTGTGGGGAAATTTTGGTGAAGATCCTGTACCTAAATATCAAGCTACAACTTTATTCAATCAAATCATGAGGCCAGCCTACATTGTAAAAGCTGCCGGTTTCAACTACGATCATCGTAATAAAAAACGGCCAGGCTTGATGTGTTGAAGTAGTCCTCGTGTCACGGTTCTGAGTCTCTGCCGATAACAAAAACAATTCCAGATGTATCAGTTGAGGTAAGAACAACCGTAGACTTTGAATTGTACCCCCTTTTTGTTCCCGAACCAAAACATGAAGCGCTAAAAAAGGAACGGTTTATCACCAGGTAGCCTGAGGATCAGGCGTTTCTGTGGGGCGGGGGGGGGGGGGGGGCAAGGGCCCCCTAAAATCTTTTCTCTCCTGCTAAGGAAGGATATTCAGGCTTATCACTAGAAGGAACCTATGTAAGCCATAATTCCTTGATCGTTACAATCATGGCCTGGTTGTCGGATCACAACAAACTGAACAAAGTTGAGCAGTCACGCCAGTGATCTGAAAAAATAACGATATACGGAAACTGCCTTAAATTGGAACTGAACTATAATTAATCCAGGCGCGGATCTAGGATAAATACTGACTGATTTCCTAAACGAGCGCCGAAGGCGCAAGCTTCTAGGGGGTCCAGTGGCAGACTGCCCCAGGGGAGTTTTTGGATTTTAACTCCTTTAAGTCCTCTTTCCTACATCGGTTTCCGAGTCATTTGGACGGGATATTGGCCAGAGTTCAATTTGGAAAGTGTTTTATTTAATTTTTGTTGAAAATATATTTATTATGAAAAATCTGACCGATTTCCGTAAAACGCTGGAAGCCGGTGTGGATCCGCGCCTGTAATCATTGCGTTGAAAACTTGTTGAAGCGTTGATTCAGTGTAATCGCTGCGATCGCATAAATAGACTTTCAGATATCGTATTGATCATATGGAAATAAGAATTTACTTGGATGCCATGAAGTGAACGCCATGAGCGCCATGAAGCGAGACTGAAACGAGACTGACTGGTTGGTTCCGGACGCTTCAGTGTTCCTGAAAGTGATAAACGTTTTGCGTTTTCATTTTCTTCCATGAGAGTAGGTCTCTTTTTTTCTTCTCACTAAAAAACAGTCAACAAAACGTTTACCCATCACTCTTTTATTTTTGGCGTTTGGAAGCAAACGCCTAATTAGTAGTTAGCGGGAAAAATGTAATACCCTCTAAACTAAAAACACTAGCTACAAATTATTGTAGGGAAAAGTCTTGACAGCGGAACACTAAATAACTTTATTCTCAGTTGTATCTTGTGCACCGTTCGATGGATGTTCTCTGAAATAAAGTGCGCAACCCAGTTTAAAAGCAAAAAGCCCCCCTTTAGATCTCCTCTTTAGCACTGGATAGTGCTATCCACCGGATAAATCATTTTATTATTCAATCAAATTATTTCGCCGTTTCTTATTAAAACGAATTCAGCTGTAATAACTGTCAATTCGCTTGAGATCTCGATAAATTGAACTTACCAGAAAAAGGGAGAAAAATTCAAACCCTTGACACACCTTCAGACGTTTTGTAAATCAAAAACTAACGAAATAATACTATTTGTAGTTTTCAAATTCACGAAGGCTGTGCTCTAGCAAAGCCAGATGGCTCCTGGCGCCTAACGTTTGCTTCTAGGCGACCAGAAAATCTTAAGTTTTTTTTTTCTTACAGAAATTGTATCCTTGGCACCCTGGATTTCACATGTTCACAGCACTAGGCTCCATTCATATTAGGGCCATTAGCTGGCCATTTATACTAGAAAAAATAAGACGCGTCCTAAATAAGACGTAAACTATCCCTTATAAACGGCACATTAAGACGCGACTGAGCAAAGACGCGTCTTATCGAAGAACAGGCGTTAGGGGCTGTTCTTAGATAAGACGTGTCTTAGCTAAATTTCAAACGAAATGTGCCGTTTATACGGGATAGTTTGAGTCTTATTTAGGACGCGTCCTATGTAAGACGCGTCTTCTTTTTCCTCTTTTAAACGGCCCTATTGGTGCACAGCCTTGTTCATTGATTTTCACTTTGTTGTTTTGTCTTCTTAGTTTAGCAGACAACTTCCTGCTTTGGCCAGATTACTTTACACCAAAACTTGTGCTGCAGGTTTTTGAAGCGATACAGCAATCTCAAGATGATTCACTTATTAACAGCACTATTGACGAGGTGATGAAACCTCAGCTAAGACAAGTTATTATTCAGGCGTGGCGCGATGTGGTTGATGTCGATCGAAGCAAACAGGTCAAAAAGGTAACTGATATAACCTGTATATTGCAAACGTCTGGAAAATTTCGCGACTTTGAGGAGATGTATCTATAAGCTCTCAACAAATCACTTTCAAACTTGACAATATTATTAATTTTAAGGCGCTTTTTTCAGTGTTGTTGACGGATTTTCCCGAACTTGTCCATGTCAAAAGTTGAAAAAAAAAAACCGTGAATAGGTCTTTTCAGTTGATATGAAGAGACGCTTTAACGTTTTTATAAAGGCAGCAAATAGCGTGGCATACCGGTAGCCCCTTTAAGCTTGTGAACTGAGTGTGATCATATAATTATTGTGAGGAATGGTGGTGAGTGAGTGTGGTAAGTGTGGATAAGGTCGTTTCGCCCGATAGCAGTTCGCCCAGACTAAGTCGACTCACCCGAAGCGTATTTGTCGTTCTTTCAGCCTGAAAAAAAGGAATATGCATGGAAAGACAGTGACTGCACATGTGGAATCTAAGGGTAATTAAAATAACACCTCTAAAAGCATTTTCACCATGTTGTACAGTGTTGTATGTCATCAGGCGAATCCACCAATGTCCTGCCGAACGCCGTCAGGTAAAACGACCGCACTTCGGTCGTATAGTTCGTATAGTTTTCACTACCGAGTCGGAACAGAAGCTAGAACGGAAGCAGCATATCTTATTAGGGGAGCATAAATGGTGCAAGTGGGAGAGCCATTGCCTCTCACCGATACGGCCCGGGTTCACCTCTCGGTGTCGACGCTCAATGTTGGTTAATTTTGTCGTTGGTTTGTCCCTGCTTATACATAGCACGTGTAGTTCGTGCAAAGAACAAAAGTGAGGTTTACATGGAGTTCTAACCAAAACGGACCTTAAAAAAATATTGAAGTATTTTTCATAGTAGCCTGTTGAAACTTGACAAAGATCAAATATTTTTTTCTCATTTCTCTAAAAATGTTTGTGGACCCTGGTAAGTCCCTCCAAGAGGGTATTGATGAACCCAAAAAACTGAAGTGTTTTCCGGAAGTCGTGAAATTTTTGTCAGAGAAATCAATGCTTGATAGGAATGAATTGGACCTTTAAGGACACGTTATAATATGAGTAAGAATCCAAGAGAGTTTTGATTTCAAAATTTGCCTTTGGACCCGAAAATTTACAGGACCTTTCCAGAAACGGGTCCCTGGTCCATCCGTTCATTACTGTGCTGGATGGGAAGGCCGGAAGCTTCATATCGGCTTGATCATCCCACCACTAGCCTGCGTAGCATGGCGGTTTTTCGGTTGGGCGCGCAAAGTACTAAAGGCCGGTGAGGGCAGAGAAACCGCGAGGAGATTGGGGCGGGAGCAACGAGAAACCTCCAGGCTATCCCACCACCAGTCAGAGAAAAAAGTCAGTTATTCTCTACATGCAGTTAGCCAGTACCTGCTGAGTCTGCTATGAAGACCTTTCCACGGCTAGTCTGATTCCACCAGCCTGACAAACAGTAAGACACTTACCTGTCTTGTTAGGAAGACAGTTTTTAAGCCAATCAGGCCATCTTTTACTCAGTAATTCTCTTTACTTTTATACGGCTGGCTCATCGAGAGAGCAATATGCAGAGAATCCTGTGTACCCTGCGAGCAGAACTACGCGACTGACAAGAATCGCAAACGACTCGGTAAATGCTTAAAGCCATGCCACAAAGAAATCTCTGCTCGCAGGGTATTTTTGCCGCATTAATTGGATATTTAACAGGCTTTGTACGCAGAAAAAAAGTAGGACTTAGTTTCGAGGTTAGTTGTTTTCTTCCAATTGAGGTACATTTTCTGTTTCACAAAAATAAAAACCTAATAATGATAACAATAACTTAACCACCGTTTACCCAGCACTCTTTTATTGTTGTTGTTGTTGTTGTTTTCGTATTGGTAGCTTAGCACAGCACAGGCTTAACTAATTTCAAAGCACTTTTACGTTTTCTTATTTTCGATCTTCCCCGTTTTCTTAATACCTTAAGATACCCTAAAGATTACAGAAAGTTTTCAAGAGTTCTTAAAGGTCCCTTATTATAAGAGCAAAATCTGAAAATGCAAAATTATTTTCCGCCGCTCATAAATTACTACCCTTTTACAAAATATTACTCTTCTGGTAACTCGCAATGCGAAGCAAATCTTGTATTGTAACAATGGTTACTTGAGCCAGACCGTCAGGTGTGGAGACTGGTGGCTGTATGATGACCTGTTTGGCCAATCAGAATCACTGCTTGGACTATCGTAACCATTGGCATTCTGGGACCAGGCATGCGCAGTGGATCCTTTCGTCATGACTCCAACAGACATACAGTAGTCGTTTGTGGCGGTGTTGCCTGCAGGGTCATAAGAGGTGTAAGGATACGAACCTCCATGTAAAGCATAAGGCATTATCCCGAACTTGTTTTGGTAACAGATCTAGGGGATAAAAACTGACAGTTTAGTCAATGCAGGGAGACCTCGGCCTTGATGTATTGACTTGTGGACATCCTTATTGACATCTATGTTATATATTAACAGCTATCAAAAAGGGCATCTGCTGACCAGTGTCACATGACTGTATCACGGGCTCAATTGTACAACTCAAAACATATGACCTTGATGTATTGACCTTACTATCACTCGGTCAGTACATCAAGGCCTCGGTCTGAGATTTCCCTGTAATGACTTCACTCTCGGTTAATAAGTGGTATGTATTTTATACACAGCCCGACAGATATATTCTGAGATAGGGTAAGAATTGAACTCTGCGCAGGGCTGACTGTTCTGTATAAGCTGATAGTCATATGTTTTGTAATCGTGTTAACAAGCAACACGCGCCCCTTTAGATCTCTCCTTCAGCTGTGCATGAATGTGTGGCTTAGTTGTCATGAAGCACTACAGAAACAACACGTTCCTATCACGGGTTAAAATGAACTCAACAAATTGGCCTGCCCCCACAGCTCAGTTGGTAGAGCGCTAACGCTGAGGCTATAGGTTCGAATGTCGTTGAAGCACCGATTTATTTTTCGGGTTAATTTGCAGTTGCTTAAATTGCTAATTACAGCTGCGACTATCATCAGTGGATAGTCATCTACGTCGTTGTTACCTTTTTGCTTCCATTCCAAGCGTACACTATGACGGGTGTTTGAACAGCTGCCTTTACCGTAGTCACCCCAACCGAGTGGCGCCAAAACGAGTCTTTTTCTCTGCTACCTGGCAACCTCCACATGACCCACTTGCTCCCCAACCCATCCATCCTCTCACCGCTGGACAACAGGACCGTGGACGCTTCATCTACTGCTAAGCTACGCGCGTCAAAGCAGGCAAACTGTTTCTGTCCTGTGATCTTTGGAGACTTCAGCGATTGAGTGCTGTGGTTAGACACCAACCATTTATTGTAAATGTTGCCCACATTTCCGCTGATTTTGCCGACAAGGGTCCAGCCACCGTTTTTCATGTCGCACTAAGTCTGCACTGACGAGCTGCCTTGGAGGTCTGTCTTGATCCAGTAAACGCCATTCTTAGCACGCGGTTTGTTGTTCGCAAGACTTGCATCATGGATCTGTTTGCATGAGTCCGCAGGAAGCTTTTTCTCGCCTAACAGAGCGCTTTTCTTGGGAAGGAATGACTGGAAAGAACTCAGGGTGATGTTTGGGGGTGTAGAAACCACGAAAGTCACTTTGATATTGTCATAAAGGGTTTTACAGTTGTGGGGGGAGTGATGGCATCCCAGTCCAAATGTCCCTGCTGGTATCATCCATTTCGAGCTCACTTGGATGTTGTCGTGTACAACTTTGCCGTTCGCCCATTGAGAGAATCTGTCACCCATCACTCGATATTTGAAGTTAAACCACTTGTTTAATTGGAAAGCTGTGGGTAACGTTGTGTTGTATTGCCAGCCGGCGTCGTTGTTATTGAACAAGGGTCTCATTGTACAGGTACTGCCACGTTTTATGTAGTATTCAAACCACCAACCCGTCGTTTTGGACAGGCCCGCATTACTGAGGCGCAGTAATGACCCAGGAGCGCTATTCGTTGTCCCTTTTTCCATTAAGTCAAGCTCGACCTCAACATCTTTCCACTGAAAACCTGATTTGAGATAAAGCCCGACCTCAATGGCATCTTTACTTAAATCTTTACTCTGCATTGTGCTTCCCAGCAAGCTCCCGTTTTCCACGCTCCATTTCCCCCAGTTTTTCACCCATTCTTTCTTTAACGACGCACTCGAAAAATCGTCGAAAAATGCGTACACTTTGGCAGGATCGTCCATGGCACTTCCGCTGACCGAAGCACCGAGGACCAAAAAATAAGACACGTCATCAGCGGTGTTGGATGATATCGGAGCCTGCAGTCGAAAGTGGACAGTTGCTGATTTTGTTCCCAGGCCACTGAGAACGCGGTCAATTTGGAACGGTTGCTGCCCGTTGTCATGGTAATAGACCTGCAAATCTTCGCCATCTTCACGTGTCAGTCGTCCGCGGTCTAGCATCTCTCGGTGGTTTACTGAGGAAAGAAGACTCATGCCAATCAATGTCGCAAGTCATTTGAAGTTTTTCACTATTGATCAAGGGTAAGAACCAAATCTGGGAAAAAAATTTTTCAGTCAACCTTGAAAAAAGAATAGCAGATAATTTCCTATTATATTTGAAGGTAAGGAAGATTTATTTGAGAATCAGGTTTTATGTCTAGTTTTGTGCGATAGCATGATTTGTAGCTGAGTGACACGTTTTGATGCAATAAATACCACAAATAACTGATCTTTATTGTTATACCTTATTTCACGTGCTATTAAAACATGCTATTATTTATTCTTGGTTCTATCACACTAATTTTCACAGGTAGATATTTGGAGATTTGTTCGCCTCCAAGAACAGTGCTCTCCAACAAAAGTCACGATAAAGTAGATTTCCACGTTTTATTCCAATATAAACCACGATCTCTTAGTTTTACAACAAACACGTTCGCTTCCACTCAACTCTCTTTCTATCTCAATTGTCCTTTTTTCTTTTTTTAACCCGCATCCGATCAGTTACACAAGGATTGATTTAGAAAAACCGTGTAGTTGTTCGTGATTGGTTCGATTAATCACTAGGTTTATCTCCGGAAATGTCTGCGGAAATTACTAATAGATAAACAGCTTAATGATATCACGCAAAATAACAGAGGTCAATTACTCTCATTTTTTGTCAACTATTGTCAACATAACATAACTCTCAGACAATGCAAAGCTTACCGACACATATTTCACTTCGTAAAACTGGTAAAATATTAGGCTGAATTCATTGACTGACTGGTTTAAGGGGTCAGCAACAGTTTTGAAACGTTGAATAATTTGTTACTATTCTCACTTTAGATTTCTTTCTTCTTCCCTCCCCTTGTTATACGTTGAATATTTGAAAGTTCAAAACGCAAATGTATCATTTGAATTTAATATTTCTTAGTGTTTTCATTGCTTGTCTCGACTTCGCTCAAAGCAGGTCTCGAAAGAACTTTATTGCTTCGATTCGCTGAAAAATATTGAAATGTGAATACTTTTATCCAGTTAAAAAATTCGGGGAAAAAATTCTTTAACTTTACCTGCTACACTTATAGTAAAGTGCTTGGGCAGTAGAGATACTGTTTCAATTCGTATTGGTATTTTACCGCCTGACCAGACCATACAGGGCTGATATCTCGAAGTATTCCCCTTGGAGAGCTTTTCCAAAAGATGTTGAACTGGCCTCAACAGGGCGATTTCTTCTTTGGCGACACGAGTCAATTTCGCGGCATCCTTCTGCATAGCCTCGGCCTTAGTTTCCTTTTCGTTAAAAGATTTCAAATCTAAAGTCAACTTGTAAATCAACGAGTCGATCTCACTTTTCGCGCGGTGAACTTCGTCATGTTTGGAGGGTTGTGTGGCTTGGGATTTTGTAATCCCATTAAACGAGGGGAGCAACAAAGCGATTAACAGAAAAACCTGGCATACTTCTGATACTTGGAAAGCCATTTCGATGGCGGCGAATACGACTCACTGCAATAGGTTGCAATTGTAAATCAATATGTTGGCTATACAAAGGAATGGTTGCCGAATGACTGAATGAATCATGATAGTCGAAGAATTCGGAAGCTAGATTTTCAGGTTATTTTTTCGTGAATTGTATAGACTGGTTACGTACTCAGACGTCACGAAAAAGCTCACGCTCCCAAATTTGTTGTATGCATATTGGTCACGCAGTTTGATACATAAACAATAATTTGCACATTTTATTATGTGCATTAAAGTCGGAAAGACTCAACTCTGAATTTTAGCTGACTGGCTTTACATGCCTTACGTTATTGATATGATC